TAAAAGTTCAAAAGAAATCCTAAGTAGACAATTGGAATATTTATGGGAAAATGTCAATAGTTACCTTGAATATAAATGGCCTCAGCTCTCTAGTTACAAGATACAGACTGGCTGAATGGATGAAAATACAGGACCCATCTATTTGCTGCCTACAAGACACACATCTCATCAACAAAGATAAATGCAGACTGAAAGTGAAAGGATAGAAAAAAAAGCTAGCAGCCTTCTCCCTAAGATCTGGTACCAGATCAGGATGTTCACTCCCACCATTGCTATTTAATACATTCTTTGAAGTATTAGCCAGAGCTTTAGGCAATAAAAAGAAAGCAAAGGGATACAACTTGGGAAAGATGAAATCAAGCTATCACTATCTGCAGATGACATGATTCTATATATAGGACAGCCAAAAGATTCGCTGAGAGACTATTGGAACTCATAGAAGAATTTGGTCAACTGGCAGGATATAAAATCAACACAGAAAAATCAATACCCTTTGTATACACAGACATTGTCATGCTGAGAAAGAACTTTTAAGATCAGTCCCATTCACAATATCTCCAAAAATAATTAAATACCCTGGAATAAATTTAAACAAGGATGTCAAAGATTGCTATGATGAGAACTATAAAACACTAAAGAAAGAAATAGAAAAAGGCATTTAAAAATGGAAAAATCTTCAATGTTAATGGATTGGAGGAATCAATATCATCAAAATGTCCTTATTACCAAAAGCAATTAAAAATTCAATGCAATCCCAATCAAAACCCCAATGACATTTTTTGCAAATCTAGAAAAATGATGCTAAGATTCATATGAAAATACAAGATACCCTGAATAGCTAAAGTGATCTTATATAACAAAAACAAGGCCAGAGTGATCACAATACCTGATTTTAAGACATACTACAGGGCAGTTATAATTAAAACAGCCTAGTACAGGCCCAAAAACAGATGGATAGATCAGTGTAACAGAATAGAAACACCAAAAATCAATCCATGCATTTACAACCAACTTATCTTTGACAAAGGAGCTAACATCGATCCTTGGAGCATGCACAATCTCTTCTACAAATGGTGCTGGGGATACTGGATCTCCACATGCAGAAGTATGAAACTAGACCCCTATCTTACATCTTATACAAAAATCCACTCAAAATGGATCAAAGACCTAAATCTACAACCTGATACCATCAAATTACTAGAGGAGAACACTGGGGTAACCCTGCAAAACATTGGCTTAGGCGAGGATTTCTTGGAAAAGACCCCAGAAGCACAGGCAATCAAAGCCAAAATTGACAAGTGGAATTACATTAAGCTGAGAAGCTTCTGCACAGCAAAAGAAATACTCAGCAAAATGAAGAGGCAACTGACGGAATCACAGAAAATATTTGTAAACTACACAACTGATACAGGGTTAACACCCAGAATCTAGAAGTAACTCAAATATTCAGCAACAACATTACAAACAATCAAGTGATGAAATAGCCAAAGGACTTGAACAGACAATTTTCAAGAGAAGAAATCAAATGGCCAACAAACACTTTCAAAAATACTTAGAATCACTAACCATTAAGGAAATGCAAATCAAAACCACAATGAGGTTTTACCTCACTCCAGTTAGAATGGCTCACATTCAGAAATCAACAAATGACAAATGCTGGCAAAATGTGGTGAAAAAAGTACCCTCATCCACTATTGGTGGGAATGTGAACTGGTACAGGCACTGTGGAAGACAGTGCAGAGATAGCTCAGAAATCTGAATATACGCTTACCATGTGATCCAGCCATCCCACTCCTGTAAATTTACCCAAACCAAAAGAAATCAGCACATGAAAGAGTTATCTGTACCCCATGTTCATCGCAGCACAATTCACAATAGCTAAGATATGCAAACAACACAGATTTACATCAACAGTTGACTGGATAAAGAAATTATAGTATATGTAAGTAAGTACATATGATATATGTAAGCTATGGAGTACTACTCAGCCGTAAAAAAAAATGAACTCCTTTTTTTCTTTTGCAACAAGATGAACACAATTGGAAACCTTTATACTTAGTGAAATAAGCCCATCCCAAAAAGACAGATATCATGTTTTCCCAATCTTAGGTAACTATTAGAGTACCTGAAATGTTATGTATTGGAGTGAAATACAGATTTTGAGATTTGATGAATGTTTATAGCCCTTGTCTCTTCCACTGAGGAACACTGTTATTTTACTTTATTTTTCTTATTCATAGTGTTTGTAGAAATCTTTCACTTACAGTAGGGTTAACTACATAATCATTAAGTATACTGAAATTGAGCTTTGCAAAAATTAAGAGTCAGAATGGGGAGAGAAGTGTTGGAGCATTGGTGGGATGGAGGGTGGAGAGGGAAGTGTCAGTACATTCCTAAATCTGAATCTATGAAATATATTAAACTTGTGTAACTTAAATAAAAATTTTAAAAATGTATTCTCACTAGAAAAATACAATGGTACCTCAAAATGTTCATGGATATTAGATTAAAATACATGTTTACTGATGGTATATAATTTTTTAAAATTTGCCACGTTTTTCATAATATGCTTCCATGAACTTTTTGAAGATCCCTCATAAGTATGTGAGGTAATACAGATCTTAAGTAGCCAAAATTAGTCATTCTATAATATAGACATATATAAAAACATCATTAAACACCATAAATGTATGTATTTTTCTTTTCAATTAAAAAGAAATGACAGTAAATCTTTAAATGGAGTTCTTTGTATCTACATGAGAAGTTAACAATACAATGTATTGTAAGTGCCTATTACAATACCTTGATATATTATGATTATAGACAAGATGGTGATCACGATGATTATAAACTGTTCTTAACACATTTTCATGACAATAAAACTTGTTTGTTATAATCACATATATTAATCTGCATGAGAACACTCTTCCCTCATCTTCCACCCTCCACATGTCTGGCAAGAGTGAATTGGAAGCCATAACTGTATGTTCCTGCCAGGATACCCACTCTTCCCTTCTCACCAACTCAGACCTATGTCTTGACAACAAAAACACTTAGAGATATTGTCCTGATTGTACCTGTTTCTTCACAGTCACCAGATGAAGCCCACCAATCACAGGTTACCTTTCAACCCCTTTCTCCAATCCCATTGCTCTGGATCCCATTTCTGTCCAACTCTGAAATCTCATCCTCTTTGAAATTCTTGTTCATATATCAGCAAATTTCTAAATATTTTCCAGCTTTTCATCTGTATTTCCATTTCAACTTCCTTTTCAATTGAAACCTAACTTTCTTGGAAGTCCTACCAATTAGTGGTTGTTTTCTCTTTCACTCCCTCACTATCACTGGGACTCTGTACCCTTTGATGCTTCTAAAACATTCTCCTTCTTCCTCCCTACAAAACAAAACCACACACAAAAAAATTTGGAACTCCTGCAATTAAAGTAATTCACCACTAAACCTCCTTGTTATAATCATTTATAATCTTGGAAGTGTCACTCATACTTACTCCTTGAAGATTTTAGCTTCTTTTACTTTGTCCAGAACCATACCTATGACAATTCTTAATACTTTGTTGTCACATGGATGACTATCCCAAAACCTAGATTCTTCATTTCTTAAATATAAAAAATGAGTTTATTTTTCATGCTGCCACATCTATAACTTTATGATAATATCACATACTTTCTCATTACCAAAAATGACAAACCCTCCTCAGATCTCATTTTTAGTTACCCACCTCTGCATTCAACATTTCCTGTATTTCCAACTCCTTCTATCTAGTGCCTCAACTTCTATAATTCTTCAATGCCCATCAGTACCTATAATTCATATACCTTGCCTCCATTTGACTATTCTTTATTTTCCCCCTCTATATTGTTCAGACACCATGGCTCAAGTTATAATCATCCCTTCCATTCACCTCAAGTGTTTTGTACTTCTCCCTCTCTTGCTTCCACTGACTTGGTTAAATCAAGTGTTTTTACTACTCTACATGTGGAATTGACCAGAGAAAAACCAAGTGTGTTGGCTGGTCTCATAATCAAGTGTATCCACTGACTTCAAGTGAATCCTTCATGGCAGCCTTTCAACACTTCCTCACAAGCAATTATTTAATAAGGTAATCTCTCCTCAAAACTCTAGCCCTTCCTCCCCAGTAGATATGACCAACCGTTTCCTTTTCATCAAGAAAACAAGAAAAGTCAGAAAAGGTCTACGATTTGCCTTATCTATTCACCAACGTATATTTGTGCCTTACTTTCCTCCCTGTTGTGATGGTTGAAGTATCTAAAATCCTAGCTAAAGATAATAATGCTGTGATACAGGACTTCAAATGCATGATATTAATTCCATCATGGAAATCCTGATTCCCGTACTGATCAACCAAAACTCTTATTTTCATTTATGTTCATATACTCCATAATCATGGAAGTGAAAATGATAAACTGTCATTAAACACAAATTTATCCTCACTTCTATAACAATCATAAAGGCACACAATCTATCACTGATGAATTACATTTCAGGATAATAAATTGTCTCTGACACCTGAGATTCCTCTATCTTTATAACCCCACCAACTAATTCAACTATTTCAATTTCTATGAAATCCAGTTCTTTTGGCCTTCTCTACTTATATTTTCTTTTAGACTGATTTCTTTTCAGTAATGTCATTAGCTGTGGTTGTTGGTAATAGTCAGCAGGAATAAGAAGACAAACAATTAAGGTGAGTTTAATCAAGGCCCATTTTCAAAAATATGGGCAAGGCTTATGGTAAAAAATATAGCAATGCAATATCCCAGGACTAAGATCGTCAGACTACCCTTCATCCTGAAAATGATAAGGGACAATTGCTGTCGGGGAATAGTCCACAGCGGCATTGCTAGGCAGAGGTTTTTACTTTCGGTTTTGACTGGGGGCTTTCCAACGGGCGGGGCTCTCCGGAGGCGGAGGGATCGAGGTCGTGGTAAACAACAAGATGGCGCCAGGACCCCCGCAGTGAGTCTGCCTGCCAGCCTGCTGCGTAACACCTCACCTGATTGGCCGAAGGACGCGTGCCCTCCACGTGAACAGAGACTGGATTGGTGTGCCTGATGCATGGACTCTAGCTTGCTTCTGATTGGTCACATTTTGTATATAAGCCACGGGTGTAAGGAGGAAGCTCTCTCTCTCTCTCCTTTCCTCCTTCCTTTCTACCTCTGTCACGTCTACTTTCTCTAATAAAAAGTCTACTGAAGACCGGTAAGCGTCATTCGTTCTTTTCTCGCCTGAGAAAGTGTCGTCGCGGGCCCTGGGTTGAGTCTGCTGGCCAGACTTCCCCCGAGACGCTCGCGGCAAATTGCAATAGCAGAACTCAAAGAACTCAGTGGAGGGGGACAACAAGAAGGGACAGAGAATCCAAGGACTCTCTCCTCCCTGCCTCTTTATCTCTTTTCAGCACCTCTCATTCACAAAATCCAACTAGAAGCCACATGACCAGAGAGGTGGTCTGCTAATGGAGTCTACATAGGTCATTCACCCAAAGCATGGACTGGAAACAAAAAAAGTGTGGAGAACAGATCTGGAGCACCAAACGTCATCATTGGGTAATTACAATCTCTTAGCCAATTAAGTGCTTTTCACAGATGGTTCTCAGCTCAAACAAACTACTCAGGTCACAGTGATAAAATTAGCATGTTAAAGAAACAACATACAGCCTTCAGGTCACATTGCTAAAAGACATTTAAGATGTAGAATCAGACCCTCCTAGGTAAATTCCTAGGAGGATTTCTGTGATTTTTTCAGGTTAAAAGTTAATCATGACTATGTTCATAAATGTGACCAACAATATGGCTAACAGAGTACAGGAATCTTTATTAAATAAATCCCATTCTTTGCATCTAAAATACAAATTCAGTGGGTTTCCGAACTGAAAAGACAGCTCCTTCTGTTCCTTTGCTCTTTCCAACCTTGCTCTGTCCCTGCTCCCATTCCAGGTCACTGTTCAGCATACTAATGCCAAGCCTGCTTTTACCCAAAGTGCCTGCTTCGTATGCTGTCATATATATACTGCTTGTTGGATCCCAGCCAGTGGAATTAAATGAAATGGTTTTCTGTCAGACTGAATACTAATTATGTCTTCATGCCAAAGCTAGGTCTGCATAATGACATCATTTGCAAGTAGGTTGGAGGTTTGAAGCTCAAATAGTTTGTTCTGATATTTATGGATGTAAGCAAAGTGGTGTTATGCTGTTTAGTGTGTTTTGCATTGGTTTGTTAATTTTAGATATTTGGCTCAAAAACTTTAAGGTCTTCTCTGGGCAACATGGCATATTAAGTAAATTTTCCATTGCTTAAGTCAGTTGCCCTCCCACTGCAAGACCTCAAACCTACAACTCACTTTTCTAGGGTAGTCTTTGGGACATTAATTTTTTTATATTTTCAAAGACCTGAGAACCTCTGAGGTTCCCCTTCCAATCATTCACAAATGCCTAACCTGAAAATATATCTTGTTTCCTGGAGCATCATGGTTTATACTTGTTGGTACTAATACTCCCTTTTCTTCTCAGAAACGTCTCATTTTTATGTATAAATTAGATGAACACGTCACCAAGATGCCAACATTTTCAATATTTGGTTCACTATTTACTCTTTGAATGTTGGCATCCAAAATCTTTCAGAAATAATTCTTTTTCTTTACATGAGGCTTGAATATCTTGCGGTATTCACTGTGCTCAATTAGCTAAATGACAAATTAAGTCCATGTTGTCCTAATAATGAGACGAACTCCAAGGCCCTGATTTTCGTCTCAGAGTTGGGCTTTAAACAATGCATTTCTATAAGGGTAACTTTACTCATGGGAATAAAAACCCAAGGAACAGCGTTGAGGATGATCCACTAGAAGATCCAGGCCTGGGGAAAACATACGCGCTATCTGATCAATTCAGCATATGTATGATGCAACACAGTCTAACCGAGTTTAAGACATCATGCTAGGGATGTGAGGCACAGAAAGCCTAAGAGGTGAATTTTTCGCTCCAGTGTCTCATAATTATATGGAGTAATGGAAAGAGAATCAGGCTGGTTGTCGTATGTCATTTTTAGGTCAATCTGCATTAGTCTTTATTGTCCTGACCTTGGCAAGCAATTTAAGATATTAGACATTGAATGACAGGAATGAAATAGACGACCAGAAGTATACACAGCCTTTAAAACTATTTCCTATGGTCCAATAGCCTTTAAAACTATTTCCTATGCTTGGGCCCCTGCACCAGCATGGGAGACCAGGAAGAAGTTCATGGCTTCTAACTTCAGATTGGCACAGCGCTGGCCATAGCGGCCATTTGGGGAGTGAACCAATGGAAGGAAGACCTTTCTGTCTGTCTCTCCCTCTCACTGTCTATAACTCTACCTCTCAAATAAATAAATAAAATATTTAAAAAATAAATAAATATATAAGTAAATAAAAGTAAAACTACCTTCTCATTTTAGCCCAGAATATATTCAGGTTAGGATAATTATTTAACTCCACAAATATGCCATTATTAAACAAATGTACTTACTTAGAAATGCTGTCATCCGGCAGCCTGATCCCTGAACATTATGACATGTTCCACTGATTTTTATGGTGGCAGTAAGAAGTCAGGAACTTAGGCCACTGGTGATTTTTAACCTAAATAGTTGACCTGTAATTAGACAACACTTTCTCCAAATGTGTGATCTTTACCGCCTAATCTCCCACAGAAGTCCTTTATATGACCCATATCTATGTTTAACTGAGAAGATGTTTATGTTCAAGTTTTTTTACAGAAGCAAGAAGCATAGTCAAGTAAGTAAATGTCAACAAGGTTCAAGGCAGAGAAAAATGTGGTCTCAGGTCAAATATCCAGACCAGTGCCCAAGGAAACCCGGTGGCAATCCGATACTAACTCTGTTGTCAAAAATGCCTTTCTCACACTTGCTTTTACCACTATAGCTACAAGGCATGAATCCAGGTGACCCGCCAGGACTTGACAAACCTCTAACCTTTTTAAGTTCATGTTCTGATCTACCTGGGGGAAAAGTCATCTATGCAAGAATTTCATTGGTATTGATTATATGATTCTGATTCATCATGAGAGTAATCATTAGATGTTTTAATTGCACTAGTCCACAGTCAATGTGTACTTGATTTTGTATGATTGTTTTTCTTATAACTCAGAATTTTAACCCTTTAGTATCCCTAGATTTCCTGAAAAGAAAGCCAAGATGCTCACTAGGGCTAGTGAATTCACTGAACTTTGCATGAAGACGGTACAGGCAATGGGCTTAGCCTAGAGGTTTAGGTCTGTATCCTATATCAATGTGTCTGGAATTACTTCTTGGCTTTGGCTCCTGACTCTAGCTTCCCTCCAGTACAGACCCTGGGAGGTAGCAGGTGATGGCTCAAGTAACTGGGTTCCTGCCACCCACATGGGAGGAATTGGGTTGGCCTAGTTCCAATTGTAGTAGGCATTTGTGGAGTCAATCACTGATGCAGATGGGAATAAATTAAAAAAATGATAGTATGCACAGTTGGGTTTTATTTTGATGTCCATTCCATAAAAGTAATTTTTTTTTAAAAAAAAAAAAAAAAAAAGGCCGGCGCCGCGGCTCACTAGGCTAATCCTCCGCCTAGCGGCGCCGGCACACCGGGTTCTAGTCCCGGTCGGGGCGCCGGATTCTGTCCCGGTTGCCCCTCTTCCAGGCCAGCTCTCTGCTGTGGCCAGGGAGTACAGTGGAGGATGGCCCAGGTGCTTGGGCCCTGCACCCCATGGGAGACCAGGAAAAACACCTGGCTCCTGCCATCGGATCAGCGCGGTGCGCCGGCCGCAGCGCGCTGGCCACGGCGGCCATTGGAGGGTGAACCAACGGCAAAGGAAGACCTTTCTCTCTGTCTCTCTCTCTCACTGTCCACTCTGCCTGTCAAAAAAAAAAACAAACAAACAAACAAAAAAAACAAAAAAAAAAAAAACAAACTAAGATATCCAGAGAGAGTTGGTCAACAACTAGGAAGCCAGGTCAAATGTGCAATGGTTCATTATCAAAGATTACCTGAAAATAGTATCACTAGCTTCAAACATTTCAAGATCCAACAGATAGGGAAAAAATGTTCAGTGTTGAAAAAACTTCTGATCCTTTGTGCAGTCTTAGGATGAAATGCACCCTTTGGGAAAACCTGGTTCTCTATTACCTTGCTCCAAAAATAATTTAAAATAGTTCACAGATAAACAAAACATTACCAAGTATAGACAAGAGGATATGGATGACTGATTCGTGATCAGCCTTGTGTTTCTGTGATCACAGAACTTGATATTATGGAAGGGAATTCTATGTGGAAGAATGACCTAAATACAGAACAGTCACTGAATCTTAGTGTTAACAGTGAGTTAACCTCTGGACTATATATCTTACTGAGATGTAGAAAACACTTCTTTAATAATCCTGAAACATAATCATCAATACTGGTGGTTGTTGTGTTACTGCCTTTTTTGGTCAGTAACTCCTGGAATTGTCTGTTCTGCTGAGTGCTACTAATTGTAACAAAATTTTTCTTCTTTTGTTTTTAATTAAGCTAAAAGCTACCTCTCTGCAGCTTAACTCCACTGTTCTGAGCTCTATTGCCTCTGGAATGACCCCGAGAAACCTGCTCCTCTTGAAGAGGTTTCTAGTGGCAAAAGACAGCCATTTCCCAATGAATAGTCTCTTGTACACGCTTTACAGACTGGGCTTCAAAGCCAAGTGAAGTTGAGCTTGAATCAGGATTCACAACACACTTTTAAATTGGAAAATAATATCTATCTTAAAAGTTACTGTGAACATTCGAAAGAAACTGAATTAGGAATAATAAATAAGCACGGAACTTAGTGCAAATATGTGTTCAATAAATTCCTCCCTTCATCCTCAGAAATCTGATGTATTGCTTAAATGTTCTATATTCTAAATTCTTTTTTATTATTATCAGAAACCATTAGGCCTATTAGAATTCTGTTATAATAAAATATTTTTAGATGACACATATCAATGGCAGTACTTTTCAACTCTGTGAATGATACTATGTAATACTCATATTGTATTGCTCTCTTTATTGTCTTCAAAATACATTAATAGGAAATTACCATAGCTACAAAAATAATTTTAAAAAATCAATGTCATAAGTGAAATATAAATATTATACTTTTAAAAGATAATAAAATGATGTTTACTTCAATATGTAAACACTTGCATAAGATTATAAGGGCAGATATAATAAAGAAAAGAGACAATTTCACATAGCCATAAGATCTCCATCAGTGCATCAACTTCAAGGAATGAATGAGATGGCTATCAATGACATTTTCTGCAACTAAAAATAGCTACTAATAAAGTTCTGATGTCCATATAAAATCAGGCATTTCATATGTCATAGTTGTATCCCTGGAAAGTTCAATACATTATTAATACCTAGCAAAAGTATCTTGAGTTTTTACACTGCACAAAGTGAAGTGTTAAGCTCAGATACTGCTAAGCAATTTTTACTTATAATAATATTCTTTAGGACCCTTGAAGGTCATGAATGATGTCTGTTCTTTGGAGCTGGGATCTGGCT